TTTCTTATATTAGGCTGCATTGCAACATACCTGTCTAAGTGTGATAAAGACAGAAGCAGATAAAGACATAAAGCCCCTGTCACACCTTGACGATTTAGACTAACACATACCTGACGTACAAAAACACTGGCATATGTTGGATGAGTTATAGGTAATTTTGTATAAGTTATGAGCATGCTGAAGAACTTATGCATAACTTACCATAAGTGAGCAGGAACGTCAGTGTGTTGGGTCCTGCCTGTGTTCAAGCCCACGGGTATGACCAACAAACTTCCTAGCAGACATGACATGACTGAATCTGCTGCTGGGGGTGGGGGGGGGGGTTGGTAAACAGCTGCTAGGTTAATACAAACCTAGCTGCTGATCAAAGACATCTTTCTGTGCAGGCAGGGCACCTCCGGGCGATGCGCCTGAGTGGAGGAGCTTTAACTGCTGCTTCGTAATGCCCATGAAATAATACTTGTGCATCAATTCATGGGCATTATGCTGCCGTGCGCTATGCATAATTTAAGCTGTTGTTAGACATAAGTTCTGGACTCGTTATGAATATGCTATGTATATGCCCAGAATTGAAAAAATTCATAGAAAGTTTAGCGTATGAGAGTGTTTTAGGAGATTCTGGGACGTCAGGCATGCGCTGTCTAAAACTGCAAGGTGTGACAGGGCCCTAAAAAAAATAATTTCTTTGGCACTTGGGCCCCAGCAGAAAATTTTGATGCTGTGAATCAATTAGCTTGGATGACTTACCTAGGAATAGGATTAGATAGGATCTTCGCCTGAGGACCTGGACACTGGTGGTGGAAGCCAGAGGGTGAGTGAACTGAGAATAGTTTGGGGGAGGAAGGAAATGGAGGTGGGTGAAAGTTTGCTTGTGTGTGGGATTTTGTAGTTCTGTTCTAGTTGCTTGAAAACCCTACTCTTTCCTCATTTTTACACCTTAAAAGCAACAACTGTGGGGAATATTATTAGGAACTTATTTAAAAGATTTGCATAAATAAGAGCATAATTTGGGGGAAAATGAAAAAGGGGAAAAATAATACTTTATAGCACTGCATCCAAAATAAATATATATATAAAAAGTGTGTAGTGCATTTGCAATTTACCAACCAAACACGTTTTAGCAGCCTGCTCTAAGATCGAGCAAACTTCTTAAGCATGCACTGCAGTCACAGCTTCAAATATATTGAGCAATTCCTGAAATAGTTTTGTTTACTGACAAATTTGTTCATTGTTTTCTGTCAAGCAGCTCAGAATCAGCCAGGCTGGATTTAGAGCATCTGTGAAGACATGCTTTTGACTGAACGTCACACATCATTACTTTAACAAATAAATACAATTTAATTAAACCACTGAAATGTAGCCTCAACTGTATGTTAAAATGCGTTGTCCTACTGAAAGGGCGACCTCCTCTTTTTTTCAGCCTCTAAAGCACCTTCTTGTATTAAGCTTTTTCCATATTTACATCAACTCTCACTTGCTTACCTGCTGTAGCCAAATTAATGCTTTCCCACAGCATGATACTACCAGCACTATATCCTATAGCTGAAATGGTGTTCTGTAATGAAATAGTGGAATATTGTTTTACAACCTAACCCTGCAGCTTAAATTTTCCCCATGACTTTATACCTTACCTGTCTGCTGTATTTGCCCCAGTGATGCTGTTTTTTCACTAATGATTTCTAAAAAGTCCACGGGACCTCCAGAGGAAAACTGGATGTGAATTAAGATGAGTCAAACTCTATTTACCAGCCCAGTGGTGGTTCTTAGATTAAAGGCTCCCTGGGCACACCTCTTCTTCTGCTCCCCCCAATTCTCTTCAATGTAAGCTCAGTGTCAGGAAACAGAGGTTGGTCTAAGCACCTACTTTCTGTCAGTACAAGAGAGTGGATGCTTGCACATGCATAAGAGCATAGATCATTTAAAATTGAGTGCTTGTATCTGGGCAAAAGCCCAAATGTCCTATATCAAAAACCTTTATCGCTATATAGCAAGTTGCTTTTTGAAAGCAATCTGCTGCACATAATATTTTAGGGGCTTTAAAATAAAAGTTTCTGAATAGAAATGCATTACCCACATTAATTTTTTATTGCTTAAAACTTTCCAAAACCAGGTTATTATCTTTCTACCTCTCAGTTACAAATAACATAATCCACAATAAATTCCAGGGAAATAGCTTACAGGGAAGGGAAAATAGGGGAAATACAGCTTGTGATTTTTAACATGATAATGTGTGAAAAGCTGTGCAGGAATACCTTTCCAAGGCACTGTGATAAATACATCAGACCATATTTCCCTGTTCCTTCCCTGCTGTTTTCTGTCTTTTAATGATATATTTGACTTCATCAATTTATTTCATTGGGAGGATATTGCAGCCCTACTGTGCCTATTTAGACAAAACTATATCTTTATACCATGAAAAAAAAATGAAGGTGGCAAAACGTAATGGAAAAGAATACTTGACGCAGTGGGATTTAAACACACTGGAAAAGATAAAACTTTATTATGTCTTCCTTTTGTGACAATACAAAGTCGACAAGTGCAATAACAATCTCACTGAAAAGCTACATTCCATCTAGTAGGAGGTACATAGACAGAACGTGGTGCACATCACCATCATCATCTTCGCCACCACACCCAGAAAAAGTGAGGTATTGTCAACTACAAATCGTCTGTGTACAGGTGGGGATGAAACTGTAAGGCAACTGTTAACATGACAACTTTGAGAGACTGAAAAGGATGTGTGCTTCCAACCCCCCTTTCATTTGTTTATATTTATTTATTTATTTTTTAATACAGGAAAAAGGCTTGAGCTGATACAATCAACAGTACCACATCACATCAGGGCTGAGTTAGAACTATTGTTAACAAAACAGAAAACATCACAAAAAAACAAGTTGAAACATTAAAAACGAGTTAGGATTCCTGCAACATCTCTTGAGGAAATCCATGTAATACCCTGCTACTACTTATCAGAAGCATATAGAAGTTTATTCCCTGGGTAAGACTAATGCGTTTCATAATGGGTGATAGGAAAAAAAATCTTATTACACGTTGCCCAGAAATAAATCATTTTTTCCCAATTAATCCAGATTTTGGGACTGATGTCATACTGCACCTGTTTAAACTCTCACCTTCCCCTTTGCTCTGTCTGCTCTTCACACTCTGAGCGAGTGAGATTAATTTAAAGCCAGAACTGAGCACTGGGCCAATTATGTCACATGGACAGAAACATCCTACCTCCTCCATGCCCTCTGGAAATGATGGCACAAGTCTGGGGCAGGCGTGCAATTAAACCTCAGCTCCTGAAAGTGGGAATTAAGTTGCTCTAACAGTTCAGCAAATTTTAATATTACTTCACATAACTTGTAACATGATGCTGGCGGCGCTGTTCAGTCCCACTTAAACCTAATTGAGCACCGAGATTAAAGACTGAAACCCACTGTCTAGTGTCTCTTTGTTTCACCAATTTATTTAGACAGTTCTATTTGCCAGCAGATGCTTTGTAAGCTTTTCATAAAAAATCTGACTTCTTTTTTTCTGGTTTTGGCTCAGCAGCTGATTCATAGTTGGCCCGAAGTGAACTTTTTGATGATTGTAGAGCTGAATCTCTCGCTTTATATCTTTTAGTCAGACATTAGGACTGACTTTGGTGTTCTGTAATTAATAATCTAGACAGAAGTTACTCTAATTTCTATCTAAGCCAGCTAAAGGGAAATACTTATTTCTTCAATCACTGTCCAGAGTAGGAGATCATTAATTATGCCTAAATTAGACACAACTGGGTGAATAAATCAACAGAACAAAAAGACAAACAGCGAAGAGTGTCTCTGTTCATTTGAGATAAAACCAAAGCAAAGCTCTCCATTCATTAACCGAGTAAAATAGGCAATAGATAAATAAATAATGAAATCAGTGGGAAACTGCACTGGTTGATTTATAAAAACAAACAAACAAACAAAAAACAGAAACAACAAAACATTGTTTTATTTACTAGTTAATAAAAAAAAAATCTAATTTACAGTGCTATTCAAAAATATTGACACCCTTTGAACCTTTATTCTGCAACATTACAACCACAAACGTCATTGTATTTTATTGATATTTGATGTGAGAGATTGGCACATACCTATGAAGTGGACAGAAAGGGATTTATTGTTGTCTGAAAGCCCCGACTACTTGAATACCCCTAAATAATATCTAGTATAACCAACTGCCATTTGAATGAGATCCAAATGTTCCTCAAGTGCCTGTTAGGGGACATTACTAAACTAGAAGCATTATGAAGACATGTTGCAAAATAAGATGTGAAAGAGCTTAAAACATGGTATGTTTTACGACAAAACCTTTGAGCTCTGGTTTTAACTAGTTAGATAAAACCGTAGTAAACTCTCTGGCACAATTTAAATATTATATTTGGAGGAAAGTTAATATTGTGCTTCAATCTGGATGCACTATCCCCACAGAGAAACATAATGGGGGGAAATGATGCTGTGAGGATGTTTTTTTGTTTTTTTTTCCAGCAAAGAAAGGCAGCTGGTCTGAATTTATCTAAAGACAAGTGGAGATAAATACATTCCAAATCCAGACATAAATACATTTGAGAATCTGTGAAAATATGTAAAAATATATCTTCAACACTACTTAATCAGGGCTTTTTTTTTTTTTTTTTTTTTTTTTTTTTTTTTTTTTTTTTTTTTTTTTTTTTTTTTTACTAAGAATGGCCAAAGTTTCAGGTTTGTTAAACAAATAATTTGCAAAATATGTATATTTATTCCTCACAGATTGCCACAACAAAAAGAAATTCTGGTCTAAACTAAAGTTTTTCCACATAAAAAAAAAAAAAAAACATCTGGAAAACTAGATAGTACATGCCTGGTGCAGGTTAGGTTTGCTCTTTGAAACAGAGACCTTCATGATTTTGCTGAACATATGCTGATCATCATATCATTCAAAATACTGGGAGGAGAATAATCAAATGTAATTATTTTCCAGCAGCAATGCTATTTATCAAATACATTTGGCATCTTTGAAAGCCAGGTGCAAACTCACTCACAAAATGTCCTCATCATGTGCAAAAAGGTATCACTGGTTAATGAGAGAAGAGGCAAACCGTCAGTACTTGTGAACATGCACTTTATTGCCAAAAATATTCACTCATCCATTCATATAATCATAATCAGGTGTTTCAGTCCATTTCTTAGCCTTAACTTTTTGTATGAAGACCTGCGCAAAGGGATGACGCCTTTTTCTAACAATAATGAAAGAATAGGTTGCTACCAGGAGCTCTGTGAATATCCACATGGTACTATTATAGGATGCTACCTGTGCAACAACTACAGGCATGAAAGTATTTTGCTCCTCAATTATTAGTGGCACTATAACAACATGAAATCATTAAGAAAGATAGCAACTTAGCCACCAAGTAGAGAAACTAAAAAAGCAAAGGCAGTGGATGCTGATGTGCATAAGTGCACAGAGGTGATCAACGTTTTGCACAATCAGTCGCTGCATACCTTAAAATTCCATATCCCCTTTAGATTAGCTTAACAACAGCACATAGGGAGATTTATAGAATAGTTTTCCATTACCAGGTGCTTTTTTGGTAATTCATCAAGCGCAATCCAAAGCATTTAATGCAGTGATGTAAAGCACACTTTGACTGGATTCTACACAAGTGGAGAAGTGTTTCCTGTACAGATGAATCCTGGATAGTCTGATGGAAAAGTCTGCTTTCGCCGTTGCAAGTAGAATTCTACTTTCCTGGCTCTAAAGTGCAACATGTAAAGTTAGTGGAGGGGGAATTATGTTGATGGATAGTTTTTAGGAGCTGAGATTAGTTCCAGTTCAAGCAATGGGGCAGCTCATTGCTTGAGTTTGCCAAGAGATTTTGGACACTTACTTTCTCAAACTTTGTAGAAAAAGTTTGGAGATGTTCCCTTCGCATTACAATATAACTTTGCACAAAGCAAGGTCCAGAAAAAGGTATGGAGCAGAGGGTTTGGTATGGATGATTTTTTATTGGCCTGCACAGGATCCTGACCTCAACCCAATATAACACCTTTGGGAGATTTAAAGACTGAGAGCCATTCCTTCTTGCCATTAGTCTAGACCTCGCAAACATGCCTCAGGAGAAATTGTAAAAACTTACCATAAACACCCTTCTAAACATTGTGGACAACCTTTCCAGAAGAGTCAAGACTGATAATAGCTGCAAAAGGTGGAACAACATCATATTGATCAATATAAATTAAGACGTCAAGTATATTCATGTTCAAATTAAGGCAGGTGAGTGAATACTTTTGACAATATAGTATATGCTAGAGTGTTTCATGGTTTATGTGGGGGAAAAAAGAAAATAAAACACCATGAATGAACTTAAATATTGCGGTATGTTTATGAACAAAGAAAACTAAACATTAACAACCAAAACAGAGTGAGAGAGCAAGGATTCTCTTCTTAAGTGCCAAAAGCATTTTTGTTTTTCAGCCCTTGTAATACATATGTTATCTTTACACATAAGATTTTATTATATTCATGGTTCTAGATAATTTTACAGTTGTCTGTAAATCACTTTATAAAAATAACTGATAATGTTTATCTGTTTTAATTGACTTTAAATTTAATGCCTTAAAAATTGGATTCTTTTTAACTTTACTCTGTTACCCATAAGTCTTCACGAGAAGAGACAGAAGCACACGCAAAATCCTTATTTCAGTAGGGCAGTCTGCAACACTTTTGCACCTGTTTTCCATTGTGCATACAGTCATAGTAGATCATCCCCTGATTCCGTATGCATTTTTTGTTCGCCCAATCAATTCATTGGTTTTTTTATTTAATAGTAGGTCAGTCCCTTTATTGTTTAAACAATAAAATACCAATAAAATACACTACCGTTAGTGGTTGGAATGTGAACAAAAATAAATTGGGGATGAGGTTTAAAGACTTTTACGAGCACTGCATCCTGGTTTTAGGGCTTTTGTTTAGTAAAACAAACACCAAGATTCTTGAAAATCATAGAAGTACTTTTAACATTTTTTCTGGATAATTAGGATGAGCTCTGATCAGATGCAACTCTCAGCTACAGATAGATTTTTGTACAAAATGGTAGTTAAAATCTTTGGAAAGCTTTTTAGAGATATTTTGAAAAATTTTCTTACACTGTATATTCATTCACCTTTAAACATATGCAGTCTATTCTGAGGTGTTTGGGACACACCTCCATGATTTCCCAGTCAGTACTTACTACTTTAATGATACCAGTTCATCCTTATGATTGGCTGCTGTACATTATTGCTGACAGTGAAGGGGCCTGGATGGATTTTTTTTTTCAATCATGGCTAATTTCTTACAATTATCTGTCACCAATACAGGATACAAAGTTCCCCTTATAAAGGAGCTAAAGGAAAATAATTTGCATTATATTGCTAATGAAGCTGCCATACTTACAGACTTCAGACGAGTCAAAATACTACACATTAAGCTTAGAAGTTGCCTGGGTTTGTTGTTGGTCTGAAGGGCTGTCACCAAGGAGTTTGTTTAACTTGGCATAAAGCTTCCTCCTACTCCAAAAGGCATCCCTGAACCTCACTAATGTTCTGATTGAAGAAACAGAACCTCTGCTCGACTTCTTGTAAAGATTATGACCCACCTAGGAAAAAACTGTATGGTGTTGTGTTTTTGTCAGACACTGTGGAGGGAAAGCCTTTGTTACGCAGAAAGGAGTAGTTAAAACATTTTTTAAGAAGATGCCATTTCCAGCATGACCAAGGACAAACATGTCTGGTCTTAACAAAAACATCCTAAGTGAGATGCTCAGCATCAAACCAAGCTATTATATTTTCAGAAAGTTACTCATAGAAATTCTCCTACTAGTTCACATAAATAATTCACCAAATAGATAATCTACAACTGTGTCTAACTGCTACGGAACACAAAGAGACACAGCGGTGTGATAAACATTTCATATCTACTGTAGAAAGAGGAATTGTTTCTGTAGACTGATGGCAGTCAGCTTGCAGCTCATCCTGGGTGTGTTTGGGGCGCTGCAGACCATGCCAGCTAATTTCAAAAATCATTTGAAACTCTGAGCATTTAAACATATCAGTCTCACCTCTGCTGAGGGTCTAGCTGAAATAGTCCTTTTTCAAATGTTCCTTCTAAAAAAGCTGCTTTTGTCCTTGGGTGTTTGTGCTCATTAGACGGGGCAGTAGTCACAACAAACTACTAAAGAATGGCCAAACCAACAGAGGGGATGTATCTGCAGTCCACAGCGATGGGATTCCGTAACATCTCCTTTCTACTCTATAAGGAAACCAGGTGTTGCTACTCTTCAGTTTGTCCATAGCTGCATCATTCTGTCCAAAAGGAGAAAAGAAACGACAATGTGAACAAATGAACAGAAATAGGGCCATAATAGGATTTATCATACAATTTTTAAAATCTATATTTCATTGATACCTAATTAAAGTAGTTTGTACACATGAAAAAAAAACTTACGATTTATATGACTTATAGTAGCTTTATTGTAATGTAACCAGATAAAATATAAAAAATAAATAGAGAAGAAATTACATTACAACAAGGTCAGTTTGTATTATTGCTCATTTGTACCGTTATTTGGTGCCCATGTTGCCATTTGGACTCTTCTGAGTTATATTTCATTCCCGTAACTAAACATAATTTATTTATGTAATTAAACCACAGTTGGTAAGGTTGTATTTTTTTATTAAGTTAATACATCTTCATGGACCATGGGAAGAGCCTATTCGTGGGAAGGCAGCTGTAACTCAAGTGATTGGAACAGTATTGCTAACACAGTACGGCATGCTGTAACATCTTACTATCTAATTTTCCTAGATATTCACATTTTAAGCTAAAGTTTAAAGTTTAATAGTGAAAATACCAATGAGTCAGTACAATTTTGTGAAAAGGTTTAGTAGAGAAGTGCAAATTTGAATACCTTGGCATTAGGTCTACTTGCACTGCTTAGAAGGAGAGAATTGCTATATGTATGACCCAGTATGACCCATAAAACACCACACCAAATATCAAGCATGGGGGTTGCAAATAACGTAGCAAGTGACTCCTACTTTTTCCTGTTCATTCTTAAAAAACGGTTACTCCTAGCCTTGTGTTTACCTGTTTCCCTTCTGAATCTCACTATGCTGCCAACAACCTGGTGCTCTCTCTCTGTACAGATGTTCAACTAAGCCCAGTCTCTCTCATCTCTTCCCTGGTTGTTGAAAAACTTATAACCCCATAGATACTACATCTGGATCTGAATATATGTGTCTAACTCTGTTTCTCTCCTTGATGAAGTCAACAATTGAGCTACTGCTGCCATTAGGCTTCTGTTTTCAATAAAACGGGCTTACTCACACACTATGCTTATATAAAAAAATCACTTTAAAGCTACACTGTGTAATGATTTCAGAGATTTACTGATAGAAATGCAATGTATTATCCATATGTTATTTATTATCATCTATAAAGTGTAGGTCTCTTTCTTTTTGTGTTGCCTTCTAAATGGTTTTATATAATAAAAACGGAGCAGGTTGCGTTTGTATGGATGCAGACATATTTGCTCTACAGCAGCGCAGAGTTGAAATACTAGTGACTGTAGAGATCACCATTAGGCTCCAAAGGGACTATGGTAAAATAGGCTTATATAAAATCTATATCTTACACAGACTAATAAAGTAGTAATTATAAAATGATCTATGTAAACTACTTTCACCTGCACCTGGTCTATGTTTGTTTTGATCGTGTCACTGCATTTCATAGTGTTTACCTCTACTTTTTTGAGCCTGAAGAGAATTTTTGCACCGGGTGGCCAACACACATAAACATTGCTGTATGCTGTTGCCTTCTGCTGCAGTATTTACCCATCAACCAGACAGCTTCTGTGGCTTTAGTTCTGCCTGAGTGAACCCAATCAGTCATGTTGTTTTCCAACTACTACTCATGTCTAATCAGCATTAGTATTTGAGATAATTCTTTTTTTTTTTTTACTTAATCTTGAAGTTTTCCTCTTTCTTTCTAAGTTGTGCTAGAGAAATTACTTCCTTGTTAACTCATGGCATGGCTTTGTACCTGCAGTCAAATTGTCTTGTTAGGCTACCTCCAGAAGAGATAGATCAAAAACTAAGAGTAAAACACAGAGATATTACATCAATTGTATGGAAAGTCTTTGTATGCAAACATTGTGAGCTACTGATATAAAACATTTTTTTGGGGGGGACAAGTCCCTTTGAATTTGTGGTGGTCTATTCTGTCCTCTTAAACCCAATTTTGTCATAGCTAATGGGTGCTCACAATGAGCCAGGCTCTATTGGAGTTGTGTCTTTCCACTGTCAGCACATGCTGGCTCAGGATGGGGGAGAGGTGCAAAGTAAAATATTTGGTCTGACTGTCTTAAATAGCTGACTTCTAAAAAGTGGATAATAAACCAATAGAAAATGCAATGTTTTATAACTGGGGTAAAAATGGAAGATATCTGAGAGGATTTCCGATGTTCTATGTTATTGCATTGTTTCCACTGAAATGTCCATCTGGATTCACTGTGCTAAGGAACCAGTGGACAGATCCACACACAGTAAAGCCTTTTATTCAGACTTTAATCTCTCATCATGAGGATGGCTGGGGAATATCAGCCTAATGGAGTAACTGTGTCTCCAAGCCTGAATCCAACAACAAACGCATCTGTAGGAGGGAGTCATGGCTTTTAGTTGCTAAGCAGTCCTACTGCTTTAGTTTCTATCCTCTCCACAATGAGCACTAAGTCATGTTCTATTGGTGGATGAAAATACTATTCCACTCAATGACATGGACATTATTTTCTTTCATGTCTTTCCTGAGTTTTTGAGTGATATTTTGTCCCTTCACATTAGAAAAAAAGCTACCACAAAAAATTGAGAGATATTTTCTGTGAGCAAGCAAACTTAGAAAATCAGCAGGAGATGAAGAAATTACTTCCCTTCTTGTGCAACCACAGGATCATGTTTCTGCTTTTAGTGCGCTCTCAGGCAGTCATAACAACAAAGAACGATGAATAAAAATCACCCACTGTCTGCCTCTGAGGCCTTCTCAGGTGTAAAAGGTTGTCCTTATAAGTGAAGGCGGACAGCCCTGTTCTGAAAACAAAACATTTGGCTGTAGAGATGCACCAAAGCAGCTGACAAAATGATTACATGTTGCTGCCCTCGCTAGTCTTCCCCAGAATAACTAATCAGTTTAAGTAATCATATGGGATGGCTGATAATAAAACATTTAATTAACATTTTCAAATTAAATTGCTAATTCAAATGCAAATTGATTTCACTGGGTAATGTGGTGAAATCTGCCCAAGGTGAAGATTTTCCAAAACGTTTTAGTTTTTGCTCATGTTTCACAGCTTTGGCTGCAGTCGAGTGACAATGTCTTCAGTTCACAAATAAAGTGACCATGCAAAAAATGATACAGTTTTACAGACAAAAATTATCAATTACCTTCCCAGAAATTGCAGGCGTATAGTAAAAATGTGCTACTGAATTCTTCAAGTCAATAGCTGAAATTGCATACATATTCTTATTTGTGCCTTCTGTTCTACTGGCAAGAAGTTCATACATAAACTCACCACAGGGTTTTACAAAGTGTTGTACGTTTGGTATGTCTCATGCTAAATAAGGTAGTTAATTTAGGAGTTCTAAAAGTAACCCTTTTTTGTTTTATACTTTAATTTGTTTTCCATCACCAAATCTTAATATAAAGAAATATCTAATCTCTGCAAAATAAATTACTAAGATTCCTTAAAATGACAATTGTTTGCCACCTGACTTCTCATTCCTTTTATATTTAAAGCATAACTAATGTCATAGCCCAAATGTACTTGATTTACAGACAGAAATGATAAAGACATATGCTTATTGCCTTCCAAGCCTGTAAGGCCACAATAATATTGAGAAACACAATGGATAGTGCCTTAAAAAAATATTGACATTGTTTGAACTTCTGACATTTTTGCACCAATTGATCACAAAATTTAGAGTATTTCATTGAAATCTTAAGCATTACGAATTTAAGCTTGAATGTAAGGTTGAAAGAAAGGGACAGAAAGTCCCTTTTCACTTTACTGCATATATATATATATATATATATATATATATATATATATATATATATATATATATATATATATATATATATATATATATATATATATATATATATATATATATATATATACATAGTCGGTTTCTGCCTGCTCCTTTCTGGGCTCATAGATACATATAAGGCCTACCCGTTAGTCAGGCTTGGTCTGATCACAAATGCATAACATACTGTTCAAAATGTTTTTTTGACAAAGTGTCTTGTAAAGGGTACCTTTTTTCTATTTTCCAAACATGTAAAATTACAGTAATTATTTACAGATTTTCCATAACATGACAAACTGTGAAGATAATGAAGGTAGTGTAATCAAAGCTTTTTGTGCTTCCGTTGAAGAATGAAAAACCAGCAGCAACTGATTTCAATTTGAAATGAAATACATAAACTAGTATTGGTTGGACAGTGTGTTACACAAAATATATCACATAATCATAATCTGCATTGATTTAGCATATCTGGATCAGTTTGAACAATTATATATTTAATTTAGTAGGTAATGTTTGATGGGTCAGTTTTATAAAAAGTTAAGAAAATCAATTCCTTCCTTTATCTAAAGTTATCTGCATGACTAAATGGCTACATCTAAACTGCATGATAACAGTTCAGAGTTAGGAAGATTCCCTTATATACAAAAGCAGAGGAGATCTTTCTGGACATGCAGACAAGGTACTGTAAATCTAAACAGACTGGAAGCAGATAACAAGCAGATAACCAACAGTGTTTTTTTCTCCTAAAAGCCATTTTATTGCTCAGGGGGCACAGGTCTACATCATTAAATTCCACAGTTGATACAGAGAGGTTTCGTCTTCCTCCTGAACAACACAGAAAGGCTGATACCGTCTAAGTGTAGAGCGAGTGCTCTTTCAGCCTTATGGTCAACATTTCTTTATGGGAAAAAATAAAACATTGGTTTGAAATCAGAGTCAGAGAAATGAAAAACACACAAAACAGGACAGCTTTCTAAAAGCAATTAGATTTACAGGAATATTTTAGGAGTCTGGAAGTCTCGTCAGGACTCCAAGCCCACCTCAGATCTATGAATCACATCCACCAAGCCTTCCACTAATCACTTCTGCTTAAAATAACAGAGCCTCTTCTCACTGGGAACAATAAGCTCTTCACTTTTAAGAGAATTAAATCAAAAAACTTTTTTTATTTTTAGTTAAAACAGTTATGAACCAGTGATTCTAAATAAATAATTGTACTATTG